TCATTGTGACCCTGACCTTATGACCTTAAATCAATAGGGGTCATGTATTGGACATGGCTGTTCACCCTTTAAATTTTTACAGTAGTACGTTGATTAATACTTAAGTTTTTAAGCGGAAACCGTTTTCAGTTTTAAGGTAATAGTGACCTTGGCCTTTGAGCTTGTGACCCCAAAATCAATAGGGGACTTCTACTCAATATTGACAATCATCCTATGAAGTTTGTTTGAATATTGTGGGGTAAACGGAACTTAATTTATGCTGCGTAACCTAAATTGTGTACGGACAAACGCCTGAAAAAGCAACACATTTCTCTTGTAATAAACGAAGTCTCGTCATAAATATACAAAATCAGAAAATAAATCAGTATGCAAGACGTACAATCTTATACCGTTATTACTTGAATAACAACATATCCTTTTATATATATATCACCCAACTTTTATCAAAGGCGATAGAAAACAAAAATATAACATTTTTAGACTTTTATTAAATTATTTTAATGAACAATTTAACAGAACAAGTTATAAAGTAAAGACTATTATAAAGTATGACCGAGTATCAATATCTTAAAGTTTTCTTAGAAGATCACTGTTTACTTTATAGAACAGAAAATTCATTTATCTGAGTTGAATATTTGCATTTCATCATTATATAAATTCATTTTAAAGCAGCAAGCCTACAGATTCATGCTAATTTCCATGAAAATTTTGAAAATGTATTTGAATGTGTAATTTTGTGAAATTACCAGAAGGAAGCCACCTACACATTATCAATGGCCATACAAGCCATTCAAGCCATGTAAATTACCAAAAAAGTGGTCAAAATATGCATAAATAGCCCCTACTGCGCTAGTAACGCAGTAGAAGTATAGTTGTAAATACTATAAAAGCAGTCATTAACCACACATAAAATGTTAATTATTACTTTAATCTTGAATCATTTTACGTTTCCTTAAATCGTAGTACATATTTTTCAAATTTGATTTTATTAAAATATTTTGACTCATCTGGAGGCAGGCAGCTTTAAAGATAATATTGGGTGGCAATACTGACCCGAGACATTTTGATATTCAATATACGGATTTTTATGTATGGCGCAACGATATATGTATAACTTAAAAATTACATGTACAATTACAACACATGACTTACTAGCTTCTTGTGATTTGATGATTTTAAAAATATAGTAAATTTTAACATGCTTGAACGTGTATAACAATATCTTGGAATATTAAAGTAAAAAAATTCATGAAAGTAACATTAAGAAGCGAATTTGCTATTTACAACATTGTCTTCAGAATACAAATTTGTATATACACAGAAGAAAGATAAACAGCAAACACATAATAATTTCTAATTTATTCAAAATATAAATATGTGAAGATTTACAAAAAACTAGTAAATTTTATTATGCTAATTGCTTGGACGTTTATAATAACTTGGAATAATAATAATAACTATTTGGTATTGAGATAAACAATGAAAAGAACACATAAAACACAAATAAGAAATACATGTATAACAGCAAGCATTTAAATCGACAGTCATATGCATATTTCAGGTTTATTACGCTTGCATAGCAAGTAAATGTGTTTTTTTCATATTGCACACGCACGCACACACGCACACGCACACACACACGCACGCACGCACTGACAGACACAGATGAGCATTTTAATATCTTTATACATAAAAGTGCGTCTAACATGTATTATGTTTATCTAAATGTACGCGATTCATTTTCTAGAACAGTAGGATATCTGAAATGCAAGGTTTTCAAACATATTATAGATTTTAATACTAGAAATGTAATTTAATCCGTGCATCTACTTTTTTAATTTTAAACCAGTTTAATTCAAGAAATGTTTGTAACGATGGCGTTTTATCGGTTATTATTATTTTTGAAATTTACAAGTACATTTGTACCCCATATAATATCATACTAATAAAAACATGATACATTTACAGGCTAGCTTTCTTTTCAGCTGATAAAAAGGACGATATATGTTTTCAGAGAGCAATTTGTTTATTTTAGTCCAGAAGTGATTTATAAGTATATTCCATTTTAAGTTTTCATTTATAAGGAAATACCTACCTGACTTAGACATAGAATAGATTAATCGGAGTTCCTAGTTCTTTTCCCGAATCAATGACGAACAGTTTGTCTTTCAATGGGACAAAATCCATTGCCTTAATTAATATTAATAACCCAATGCCCATTTTTCAAAAAGAACATTACATATCAAATATATATATTTATTTTATGTTTTTCAGTGGATTACTGATTTATCTGTGAAAATTATATTTGATAATTTCACATTGAAAATGATCAAAATATAATTTCACACTTTTCAATGACGAAACTACTTTTTTAAAGATTTTCCCCATGTGGTACCTCAATTTTATTTTGGCTGACAATTCTGACAATGTCAGGCTGTTTAAAGAAAAAGCAAAGCTGAAATTGATAAATAACTTAAATGTCAAAAGTAATAAAAAGAAGAAAACTTACTTCTATTCATTCAAATTCCAATCACCAAATTTCGTCTCTAAATTTTTTTGTTTCATTTTTACAGTCTGAAAAATACATTCCTTCCACATGCAAAACTGCTCTTGATAACATTTGAGCATCGAAGAACAAGTAAACTACCCAGCGTTCCTGAGCCAGCTTCCAAGTTTTCCATTTTCCTAGCTGCTTTTTTTGAATGTTTTCAAATCTGTGAACCAAAGGGACCCGGCACAGTGTTGGGATAGTGTAAAAAAGTAATTCTAGAAAAAAAATTATACTTTATATATAATATATAGACAAGGGGTTGAACTCGCCAAATCGGCCGAACGCCCCTAGTCCAGTATATGTCAAAATTGCAAAGTCATTCTTGCGATAATCATATAAAGCTATATATCAAAATGCAGCTAAATGACATCACTAGACGTTGACAATAACATTACTGTCCCAACTTAAACCGTTTTTGAACAACAAACCGATATTTCGGATGACACATCGTTTTTTTCCAGGTCGGACAAAACCGTGCAACCTGTCAACACTCGATTTTCTACGTGTAAAAACGCAATTCCAAACCATGACATTATATCAACCCGCAATAAATCGATAATACAAAACAAAAGAAACAACTTACCGCCGGAAATTGATTTTTAAAATGTTTTATAGCGTCTGTAAACAATTAATTCCTGAATGTGAAAATGAAAGTTGTAATCAGCATCCATTTGCTATCACGTGACCAATTTGAAACGGATTATTTCATTGGTTGATTAAAATACAAAGCATTGCTGGGTCACAGAATCGTCCAATCAAACGATGTCTTACAACCGTTGCCGAGTATGTATCATGGCTTCAAAAAAATATTTTGTCGGAAGAGAAATAAAAAGAAATGAATGTTTGCTATAATTGATTGGTTTTGGAACAATTTCCAGCGGTAAGTTGTTTATTTTGTTTTGTTTTATCGATTTATTGCGGGTTGGTATAATGACATGGTCTGGAATTGCGTTTTTACACGTAGAAAATCGAGTGTTGACAGGTTGCACGGTTTTGTCCGACCTAGCAAAAATACGATGTTTCATCCGAAATATCGGTTTGTTGTTCAAAAACGGTTTAAGTGGGGACAGTAATGTTATTGTCAACGTCTAGTGATGTCATTTAGCTGCAATTTGATATATAGCTTTATATAATTTACGCAAGAATGACTTTGCAATTTTGACTTATACTGGACTAGGGGCATTCGGCCGATTTGGCGAGTTCAACCCCTTGTCTATATATTATATATACAATATATATATTTTTTTTAATTACTTTCTTACACTATCCCAACACTGTGCTGGGTCCCTGTGCTGTGAACACTTATATTTTGTCTGTTACAATCCTCAAATAAGTTTCCTTTCTTTTAAAAAGGTGTATGACTAACAAATCCAAATGATATCCCTCTGAATCAAACACAATTATTTTCCCCCAGTGAAATACACAACTTTAAAAAATGGCGGCCTCTTATATTTAACAGAGCCAGGTCTAATATAAATTCGCAGTAAGTAACAGAAATATGGATGGATGGTTGGACTTTTTCTCCTACAATAATTGTTTGTTTTTATTATTAAAACAAGCGATCATTCATATTCTTTTAATAAAATGAATAATATTACCGACATTTAACGTTGATTGTCGGACTTATTTTTCAGCTCAAGACTTCTTGTTTTTAATGAGAAATTCCGACTAAATGGGGCTCTCAATGGGGAAAACAGATTTTAATATTAACGTTAATATTATGGACATTTCGTTTTAACTTGCTTAAAAGAAAATTTGTTTGTTTGTTGTGTAAGATGTAATTTTATTTCATCTCGTGAACTTTAAAACAGTATTCTCACTCGTGGCTACGCCACTCGTGAGAATACTGTTTTAAATCCCACTCGATGAAATAAAATTTCATCTTACACACAAACAAACAAATATCCTCTACATATTTTTAACTTTAAAGTTTAAAATATAAAAGAGGGGTAATGTGATAAAGTAATGACAACAGTCCACGGTTCTTCCGATAAGGCGAATAAGCATTTTCATAAACAGTCTTTTTTTCTACTGCCTCACATTGCATTAAAGCGTCTATAAGAAGTAACGCAAACATCATTCTACAATATAATTATAAAATGTACAGTTTATGATCCAGGTATAACTTTAAATGATTCTCCAAACCTTAAGAGACAGAAAACATCGCCTTACATGTACCACATGTAACTGTTTTGTTCACAGTTTCTTCGTTGTAGATAAAGCTTTGTTTAGATTCCATTTGCGTTGCTACTTCATACGGGTTTATCCGAACTGAAACCTTGGTTACACTCTATCCACAAATAGTCATTATATTCGTTGTCAACTATAATATCATCTTCACCGTGTGTATTGATTTTATATTTGTTTTCTTCATCAGTCTCCATCTCATGTAAGTCATTTCTCAAACTGTCATCTTTTATTGCATTAGATGGTACACCATTTTTTGGTTTTAGGTATGCGTCTTAAAGTCACAGAAAGTAAATTGCTGGCGCCTTGGTGGGTTGATTTCGGCACGTGCGACGCCATGTGTTCTCGCAAACTATAAGCAGACATAAATACCTTATAACATACTTCACACACGTGCTGTTTCAATTGCACGTGCGTTTGTTCGTGTCTTTGAAACTGTTCATATGTCTGTAGAGTCATGTCGCAAAAACAACATGTATATGATTGTACATGTTCATCACCTTTGTGTATTTTTAAATGACTTGTGTACATAAACGGATCTGAGTAGGACATATTACAATACGTGCATTTATACTCCTTAAGTGGTCCATGTGTTAACATATGCTTGTTGTACATCAAAGAATTAGATCCGGTAAACGAACAAACCGAACACTGATAGTCCTGCAGCTCTGGATGTAACTTCTTATGTTGTTGGAACTTTACAATATCAATATAACTTTCACCGCATTGTGGACATACGCTGTAATTTTTAGAGTTATGTTCTTTCTTCATGTGACTTTTCACACATGCTTTGTTCGAATATCCGGTTTTGCATTGAGCACATCGGAACTTGAATGTGTGTGTTCGTAAATGTTTTTTTAAACCATCGTTATGAGAAAACTTTTTCGGGCATTTTTTGCAAGCGTATGGTTTGATACACGTGTTTAAGAGCACATGTCTCTTCATATTACTTCGCGACGTAAACGTAGCTAGGCAACCAATGCACGTATAATGATTATGTTCTGCCAGATTATGAGCTTGGAATAGTTCAACATTCTCAAAGGTATTATGTGGAGTATTCGTTTCAGACGACGTGCTAATTTTCTTATCATCTAAGTCTGAGTGACAATCTATTGCTAAACTTTCTGGAGAAATCTGTGTAGTACAATTATCATCTTGGTGAGAAGTATCTTTCATGTTTTCATCTTCAAGTTGTATTGTGGAATCCGTGTTGCCATCAGTGTGTGGTTCGGGTTTTATCAAAATGTTATCAATTTCAATAATAATCTGATCCGAAATAATCATTTCGGCACTGTCTTGTGCTGCGTTGGACGTTTGACACATATCTCCTAAGCCTGAATGACAACCAAGTGTAGGAATATCTGAAGACATATGTGAAGTAGTCTTCGATACTTTCAAAGAGATCCCTTTTATTCCATTATCTTTCTGTTGCATTTCGGACAAACTGTTTCCATCATTGTCTGGGTCGGGCTTAATAAAACTTTTGTCTGCTTCAAACATTATCTGATTCAAAACATTCAATTTGGCGTTGTCCTGTGTTGTGTCGGACGATTTACGCCTCTCCTCTAAGTATGAATGACCTGCCAATGTACGAATATCTGGAGAAACCTGTGTAGTAAATTTCGGTTCTTCGAGAGAAGTACCTTTCTTGCTGTAATATTCCTGTTGCATTCTGTCATTCGTGTTTTCATCAGTGTCTGGTTCGGATTTAATCAAAATATCGTCAGTTACAATCTTTATCTTTTTCAAAATATCCATTTTGGCGTTGTCTTGTGTTGTGTCGGTCGTTTTATATCTCTCCTCTAAGCTTGGACGATCAGGAAATGTACGAATAGCTGGGAAAATCTGTGTTGTGGACATTTGCTCTTGCAAAGAAGTACCTATCATGTTGTCTTCTTCTTGTTTTATTTCGGGGTTCGCTATTTCCTGAGTTTCTGGTTCAGGTTGAATCAAAACATCATCAACTTCAATCTTTATCCGATCCGAAATATTCTTATTGGCGTTGTCGTATGTTGTAATTGGCGCTTTTCGTCTTTCATGTACATTTTCACATGCAACAGATTTAGCTGCACAGGAATTTTCATTTGGTTGATTTTCGGGATTATATGGTTTATCAAAGAATTTATGTATTTTCACAACGTGATCTTGGTCGTTGGTAGTCAAACATATGATTCCGTCAACTTCAAGACGAAGTGTGTTGGCAGCCGCCTCACGACATAATCCCAGAATTGACTCTTTAAGTAAGCGAGTAACTAGGTCACTTAGTACCATCTTTGTTTGCCAGGCAGTTCCTGAAAAGAAAAGCGATAAAAAGGTAACAAATATCTTTTTGCCATTATAAAAATAGTGTCATACATATCTAAGGGTATTTTAATCTGATTTTGTGGGTTCGACCTATGATTTAACCTTGTTATAGTCCTAATACAAGTGAACATCGTGAAATATTCAAATAAAATTCAGTATTACATTGATTAGTATGTTATATTGTGTGCACTCATTATATAATTGGTTTTTAATGGTTTTATCGTATTGCAATTATGCAGGAGTCGGTAATAATTTCTTATAGCACTTTTTTCGGACTTAGTTAACTGTCTATTTCACTTTGACTACATTGAGAATTCCATAATAATTATCGTATACACACATCTACGGATGTTCTTCAATGCTGATTAAGCTGGTTCTAGTGGCGTATCAGTTCAACAGGTAAATAAGTTGAATTGACATTCCCAGTAAAATGATACAAACCATTTGATTGAAGTTTCTTAGTAATGTGTACTTTAAATCATTACTATTATACAAAGCTCTCACTAATGAGCAGCATCAAGCTTAAATCCTAATAAAGAAATCAATTAATTAGTATCTTTTCTCAAAAGAAAGCTCTATAGTTGTATATATATTATGCTCTAAAAGTACAATTTTCAAGAAATTCAATTTGCTTTTATTAAATAATAACATTTCTTTCCATGAAAAAATAGAGAATGCAAAACAAAATTTCTAAATTAATTGTTTTATTTTATAACAATTTTAAATATGATATCAACCTTTAATGCAAATTGTTTTTGTTCTACTGTTCAAACAGATGGAGAAATCATTATAGTTTTACATTTGTATTTGTATTTGTGACATTTGAAATAGCGACAGTCACGCTATTCCTTCATTATTAACATTGTTATTCTTTCTCGTAAGTCTTGTTAAATGTTAAAACATTGCGCATTTTAAGTCTACTTATGAATAAGCTACACATAATAAGTTATAGATAAAATAAAATTTGATGTCCCTCCGGGGCTTAAGTACTTGTCCCATTCTCTACATGTATGTCAGAAATTGTCTGGAATTAAGTACATGTAGTTCATGTATATGTTACAGTATGGGTCTCATATATATGTCTGGACTGACGGCGGGCATTTACTGGAAAATATATATAAAACAATATATATTTTGCAATTATTCAAATGTATTTCTCAATCGAATATACAATTCAATGATAACATGGTAGTCTCATCGATATTGTCAATGTAAACAATGAACAAATATGGCGACGTATATAGTTTACACAAAGACGCATAGAAAAACATCTTCAAAAGCATTATTTACGAAACAGATTTACATATTAACATACAATATTGTAGAAACATGTATTTCAAACACGATGCTATAAAAATTACCTGGAAAATATATATAAAACAATATATATTTTGCAATTATTCAAATGTATTTCTCAATCGAATATACAATTCAATGATAACATGGTAGTCTCATCGATATTGTACATGGCGATTGGTCAATACAGTCAAATATTTAGCATAACAATAGAATAA